CCCTAGCCCTCTCTTGAATCAGAAATAATGATCTAAATATTCGAATGGTTAAGAGTTAAACAGGTCTCTTGATTAAGCTCTATAGTTGAATGAGGCTTACCTATACCGGTATAGCTTAATTTCGCTCTTCAATACCTTAATATTGATAAAAATTGCTAAGTTTTCAAATTTTTGCATGGGATTATGTACCCGAGGTTATCATCTCCGCCTGCTCTTTTTCTTTGGCATCTACTTCGGTCAAAAAAATCAAAATAGAATTACAAAACAAGTTTATTAAATTGATTGACTTTTTAGGATTTGAAACACTGCAATTCATACCAGGATACCGCAGCTCGAACGATATCCCTCTCAGAAATGTATAAAATACGTTCACTGACCATCTTGTCTTTGATCTGTTTCTAATTACAAAAGATACAGCCAGGAGTCTTTTCCCATGATTTGTTACATTTCACATTGAAGTCCTATTGCTCATTGACAAGTAGTGTGTTCTCAATGGAATTTTTCCTTTTAAACTTTTTTTGGAGGGGGGGTTTGCTTTGGAGTCGCGGAGTAAGGAGTTGAACCTTATGTCGCGGGTTCGAATCCCATTGTGGGACGTGGAGACCGGTCCTTCGGATGAGACCATTCAAACCAAGGTCCCGTGTCGCAGTATATTCTGGCACGAAAGAAGATCCCTCACTGTTCAATGGCATTGAGTGCTGAGTAAAGGTCAAAATTTGCAGCTCTCCACCGGTAAGTGGTGGCGTCTCCAAATAAGTGAAAAATTTTCAAGGGACGTTAAACAACAAACAAATCATTACGTATTGTAAGTTTATTTGTCCAAATAATGACCCCCTGGGGTAAGATGGGCCCCAGTAGATAATGAAAAATTTTCAAGGGATCTTAACCCCAAGAATCACAGGGCAGGAAAATTTAAAACTTATGTGAAAGCTTTATTACATAGTGTATAAAAACAAAATTGTTCTCTCAAAACGCTATTCCATCTACAGTTTTTAATACGATTTCAGTAAGACATGGTGCACAAGTTGACTACACTAAGATAAGGCGCTCCCAATGTAATTCTGTGACGAATGATAAATATATATATATATATAAAATCAATTTAATAAACTTGTTTTGTAATTCTATTTTGATTTTTTTCACCGAAGTAGATGCCAAAGAAAAAGAGCAGGCAGAGATGATAACCCCGGGTACATAATCCCATGCAAAAATTTGAAAACTTAGCAATTTTTATCAATATTAATGTATTGAAGAGCGAAATTAAGCTATACCGGTATAGGTAAGCCTCATTCAACTATAGAGCTTAATCAAGAGACCTGTTTAACTCTTAGCCATTCGAATATTTAGATCATTATTTCTGATTCAAGAGAGGGCTAGGGATATGTCCAAAACATCCATGACATTTTGACTAATAAAGATGTATGTTTTAGAAGGAGTGAACTGTAAAATAATGACAAATGGGAAGTTGGGTTAATATTTTCAAAAAGTTTAATAGTTTTCTACATAAGAAGAAATATGGAGATAACGAACAGTATTTAACTCGAAGTTCATTAAAACAATACCAAAAGGAAGCAGAGCAAACACAGATCTCCAAAAACATCAGAGGTGGGATCAGACTCTGTGGTATCTTTTATTTCAAGCTCACTGGGATATATCGTGTCGACATATGAATGGAAATTACTATTGTTAATTGATAATATGTCGTCGATATATCTACCGGTAAATGTCGAGTTGAAGGCCACAGCCAGAGACTTCTTTTTCTCATGTATTAGATTTTGAATAAATTCTGCTTTATATGAATACAAAAATAGGTCTGCTAAAAACGGGCGCGCAATCATGGAAATCTAAGACCATTTAGAAATCACTCCTTCCCCTTCTCCAATTTCCACCCCTTGGGTTCATTTCTACAAACCAAAACTGTGTTTTGAAATTTAAAAAAATGTGAATATATATACAAAAATGTACACAAAGTTTACAGGCAGGACTTTGAATGATTTTCATTTCTAATTCTAAGAGGGTGGGCTGATTGGAGAGGATCATGAATGAAATGTCTGAGAATTGATGTATTTTTGACACAGATCATATTGTGATCATCCCACTTCAAGGATTAGGGATGACCTCAAGGAGGTTATGACTTTTATTCCATTTAATGCGTAATGAAACAAGGAACAAGGATATAGCGCTGTGAGATTAAGGATTAAGGGGGGAAGTTTTCAACCATTTTCTAGATATCATTTGTAGTTTCAGGAGGTGGGGATGACCTCCTAGGGACATCTTGTATTGTGTCATAATACAAAGATAAGATAGAGGCTTTAGATTTCAATTATTGCTATTACAGTTCTAGAAAGTGTGAATGACCACAGGACTTGCTTCAGTGTACATATATAACTGGCATGTGGCATCCAATGATTTAGTCTTCGGTACCAGTGATTATTTTATGCTTATTAAGAAGATGTGTTTATGAAACACTGATGCCCCCGTATGGCAGCTTATGGCGAAGGTTAAAGTTTCTCAAATGCAAGTCAAAATCCAGGCCAAAAGATAAAAAATGTTGGTACCCAAAGAAAGGTCTTGTCTCGAGAAATATACCTGTGAAATTTGAAAGCCTTTGCTGCAACTGTTCAAAAGTTATGGCGAAGGTTAAAGTTTTCTTAAAAGTTAGTTAAACCTCATGTTCAAGGTCAAAGTTGTTGGTATCCAAAGGATGGTCTTGTCACAAGGATTACATGTACATATGTGAAGTATGAAAGACCTAGGACCAACCATTCAAAAGTTATGGCCAAGGTTAATGTTTTTCAAAGTAGGACAAACTCCTAGGTCAAGGTCAAAAGGTCAAAGTGGTTGGTATCCAAGGGGAAGTTCTTGTCACAAGGATCACATATGTGAAGTAAGAAAGCCAGAGCTCCAACTGTTCAAAAGTTAAGGCCAAGGTTAAAGTTTTTCAACAGTAGCTCAAACTCCTAGATCAAGGTCAAAGATGCTGATATCCAGAGGAAGGTCTTGTCACAAGGAATACACAGGTGAAGTTTGAAACCCCAAGCACCAACTGTTCAAAAGTTATGGTCAAGGTTAAAGTTTTTCAAAAGTAGGTCAAACTCTAAGGTCAAGGTCAAAAGGTCAAAGTTGTTGATATCCAATGGTAGGTCTTGTCACAAGAATTACACATGTGAAGTTTGAAACCCCAAGCATCAACTGTTCAGAAGTTATGGCCAAGGTTAAAGTCTCATAAAATTTTGCAAAAGTGGGTCAAACTCCGATGTCAAATATGATGGTACCCAAAGAAAGGTCTTGTCACAAGAAATACACATGTGAAATATGATAGTCCAATCAAAAGTTATGCGCAAGGTTAAAGTTGACAATAGACAGACAGACAATCAGGCAGAACAAAAACAATATACCCCCGGGATCTTTCGATCCAGGGGCATAAAAATTCATTCATAGTTGGTTAGTTGACTTAGAGATGTTTGTACTATTTAGCTAGTCTAGATAGGTTTGTACTACTTACCTAGATAGGTTTGTGCTCCAGAGATGTAAATCATCGTTTTGTTTGCTTGTTTTTAGATATAACGCAGTGTAATAAAATTCAACCAATAATTTTAAAAGCAAGTGTCATTCTAAATTATCGTTATGTGTTCTTTATGCTGTCACCAAGGTTCAACAAGCACATAAAAAGTAGAGATAGAAAATTTAGTTAAGGGGGTATAGTATTTCTCTCCTATATTATATATAATGTTGTGATGACCAACAGAAAAAACACTAACAATAAATTCTGCTCTTTATATACTATGCTAGGTCGACGATCTAATCACAATGTATAACACTAAAAGAAACAAGTACGCACTTGCCAGCAGTCTGCAAGGAAGAGAGCGAGCTTCTGCACACGGTACAACACGTGCGCGAACAGAGAGTAACATGTTCCAGAGGTAATTCGTACCCAGCATCTCCAGGACCACTACAGGAGTATTATAAAATATGAAATATGTATATTGAACAACAAGGATCACAAATCTAAAGGTGGAACTACTAGAGTTGGTTAAAAATCTATGGGGAAGAAATTGGGTCGGTATGTACATGTAGGTGAGAATTTTTTTTAAAGAAAATTTCAACACCAATGCTGAATTTTAAAAATTCTATTTTCCGGAATGCATATATAATAATTGCTTCCTGGAGTTTAAAAAAGTTTCTTAGTCAGTCGATCTGGAGATGACCCTACACTGATAATTGAAAAATTTCGGGCGACTTGTTAAACTGAGACAGGTTACTTTAAAAAATCGGGTTATTTTACAGGGCTTTATATAGTCTCCTTAAAAATCACCATTTCGCAAATATTCTTGCTCCACTTGTTTACTAAACTTCATTTAGATCATAACAAAATACGTTCTATTTCCAGTATGGAAGAGTTATACTTCTTAGTGCGCTCTTTTGTGAAAAAGTCGGAAAATGTACAAATCTCTCGGGATTTCAGGGACAAACGTAACGTAAACATGTAAACAATATGTTGAATGTCGATGAACAAATCCTAAGAAAATGCAAATGAAATATTTTATTGTTGTGGACTTTATAGGCATAAAGAGTAGGAATGACAACGATATCAATTTATATCTATTGTTGATCGTATGTATCTATTTATCGTATGGTACATCTAAATACAATACACGTGCCTCGGAAATGTCGTATTTTTTAATTAATGGATGATAAATTTAGGGTTCTCGCTCTCTTACATATGTCTTTTAGTTCTTCTATTCTTTAATTGGAATGACAAATACATTTAACATTAAAAATTGGATTGAGATTGGCATGTTTTGTATTATCCGCAACGCCATGCTGTCACTGTCAGACGACCAAACGCGCCTCTAATTTTGAAGAGTTCACTAATGGAAATATAACGTATTCTAGGAGTAGCATTTCAAATTGGTCCAAGGCAGAGAGATCGATGTACGAATAGCTTTGGGGCACGTCTTCCTGTTCTCGACCGGTAAAGCTGACAATGAACAACAATAAACAGTACATAAAGAATTTATTCTGAACTTAACCGCTCAAAGTGTTTCAAATACAAACTAAAAACTCACGAAATTAAATGCCAAACATTATGCAGAGTCAATTATATCTAAACAAACAGTAATTAAATCAAATCACACATATACAATACATGATGAGAAGGGCTAGAGCTTTAGATAATGTTCTGACAATATCTCTTGTTGCATATTCATAAACACTAGTGGAATTGTAATATATGTGAATCTATACAATATACAAGAAATATACCTTGATTATGTTGAAAATGTTTCTTTTTATTTTACAGTTTCGTATCAATGTCATCTGCAGTGTCGTAACCATTAACATTTTCGTATGCTCCTCCACCTTCGTTTGCTTCTACTTTTGCAGCTATTGTCTTTTTCTCCACCATTGCCTGTCCATTATCGCTTTCACCATGTCTCATGTGAAACATGTCTTGTTTTTCTTCTTTGTCTTCAATGTATCGGAATTTGTACACGCCACAACTGCCAAGGAGTGGCACAAGAAATACTACTGTTGCGACTACTGCCACAATTATATTATATTCGTATTGATCGAGAAATTTGGTATATACTGGACCACGAACATTGATACCACGGATCAATTTCGTACCTGTCCCTGTAAGCACACATTTATAAATACCATTGTTTGTTGAGTTGACTTTGTGAATGGTTAGCCTCATGTGCTTGTACCCTCCCTTATCTTCTAAAAGAAAATCGTTGTCGTTTGCCCTTATTATTACTCCATTAGGTTTCTTCCATTCTACACTGCCTGTATTATTCATTACGTTCAGATTTAAATTGGGCTCATAGCACTCCAAGTCAGCTCCTTCATTTTCTCGAACAGCTTTTGCCCAATGGAAATCTTCGGCGTAGGTTGCCCTCACTGACGTAAGGGTAGAGATTAAAAGCAGAATAACAAATAGCATGTCGATGACTGTCCTTTACCTAAAAAGAAATTCAAATTTGCTTTGATTATAAACTAAACTTTAATATTGGACATTGTAAAAAAGTAGATGTCGGTGTGATACGAATGCCCCCCCCCCCCCCCCCAATAAGCAATTTTTAAATACTTGAATGTCCAAGAATGCGAAAATGCTTTAGAAACGAACTGAGACAAAAATAAAATATATTGCTGTTTTCGTTTTCTTAAATGAGCTCTCAATACCACAACATAAATGCATTTTAGCTACATGAATGGTGTTTGACGACAGAAACATTAAAAAAGTTCATAAAAACACTGTATGATAAGAAATTTTTAAAATCTAAAACAGACGGAAAGAGGTACAATATGCCCCGGTCATTTCATGCCAGAGATATAAAAAGTCTGAATGTATTACACATATGCATGCGACTATACTTGCATGGTGCAGAGATCCTGCCTGTATTCAACAAGAGGACCAGGGGCCACATCGCTCACCTGAGCACTCTGGCTAGGGAAAAGCAAAAATCAGTTCAGTCTTGAAAATTAAAGTTTAAATATAAAAGTGGTTGGGGAGGGGGGGGGGTTGATTTCAACTAACTTGAATCTATATCTCATAGGGATGCTTTTGAATTAATATGAGAAATAATGGGTTTGCAGTTCTAAAGAAAATTGTTATTGATATATCCTTTGTATAACTATGACCCCCTGTTATGGCCCCTCTTAAATCTACATTACCTCAGGATGCTTCTATTTAAATATGACTAATCATGGCTTTGCTGTTCTTGAGAAGAAGATTTTTAAATTTTTTCCAATGTATTTCTATGTAAAACTTTGATCGCCCATTGTGACCCCACCCTGCCCCCGGGGGTCATGATTTGAACAAACTTGAATCAACACTATCTGATGATGCTTCCATATAAATATGACCAATCATAGCTTTGTTGTTCTTGACAAGAAGATTTTTAAAGATTTCCCCTGTATATTCCTATGTAAAACTTATATCGCCCATTGTGGCCCCACCCTACCCCCGGGGGTCATGATTTGAACAAACTTGAATCTACACTACCTGAGGATGCTTCCATATAAGTTTCTATTTTTCAAGCACAGCGGTTCTTGAGAAGAAGATTTTTAAAGATTTTTCCTTAGTATTCTTATGTAAAACTTCGATCGCCCATTGTGCCCCCATCCTACCTCCGGGGATCATGATTTGAACAAATTTGAATCTACACTATCTGATGATGCTTCCATATAAATAAGACCAATCATGGCTTTGCTGTTCTTGAAAAGATGATTTTTAAAGATTTTCCCTATGTATTCCTATGTAAAACTCTGATCGCTCATTGTGGCCCCACCCTACCCCGGGGGTCATGATTTGAACAAACTTGAATCTACACTACCTGAGGATGCTTCCATATAAGTTTCATATTTTCAAGCACAGTGGTTGTTGAGAAAATTTTTAAAATGGTGCCATTAATTTTTCACAAATTCATAATTATCTCCCCTTGGAAGAAGGTGTGGCCCTTCATTTGAAAAAAAAAAAATTGAATCCCCTTTACCCAAGGATACTTTGTGGCAAGTTTGGTTGAGATTGGCCCAATGGTTCTTGAGAAGAAGATGAAAATGTGAAAATTTTACAACGACGACGACAGACAACGGACAAATTTCGATCAGAAAAGCTCACTTGAGCCTTCGGTTCAGGTGAGCTAATAGGCCCATGGGCCTTTATGGTCACCCTGCTGACCATCTCAAAGGGCCCCGCTTTCAGCAACGAACATGAAAAGTAAGGTAGCTGAAAAGGGTTTATTTTGAAGAGGAACATTTGTATACTATTAAGGGATGTGTTGTTTGAGTCTAAAGGGCTTCTATGTCATCCTTGTTATAATAAAAAAAAATGATATGAAAATAACTAGTGACCCATACCCTCTAATCAAAAAAAGGCACAAAAATCACGAATGTTGCATATCCTCTATGAAAATTGTTGCATATCCTCTATCAAAATATGGAAGGAAAATCACTGTTCCGTACCCTAAGTCAATTGGTCAAGTTTGAGGCTGACTGGACTTAAGGGAAAGAAATTATGCACCGAACAGAGATTTTGAACAGAGAAGCTATTTTCGACCTTCACCCTTGACTTAGAAACTTCGTTCAACGTCACTGCTCATCCATTGACCTGTGGCACAAGAGGAGAGAAGATATGCTCCGGACAAGGATTTTTCATATAATTCTGTATGACCTTAACCTTTAAACTAGAAACATGGTTAAGGGTCACTGCATACCCTTTACCCAAAGACACTCTGTGGGTGAAGTATGAGCCAGATTGGGCCAAGGAGAGAAGATATGCTCCGGACGAGAGAACTAGGATGGACAGACGGACTGATCACTATAGGGCGCCCGCAGAGCTTGGCCCTAATTAAATCTATGTTTTATTAGCGATGTCAACGCTAGGCGGGGGATGCATGTAAAATCCAAGTCTTGCAAAAAAAAAAAAAAATTAAAATAAATAAATAAATAAAAATGGCACTCTTAATCGAAGGTTTAACAATGGATGGATACATGCATAAAGCTCTGTAGTTTGTCTGACAGAATTTTCTTTACCAGGGAGCCGCAGCTACATGACCTTTTGTACATGTTACATCCACATGTTGAATTTCATGATTTCGAAATTTGTTCGTACAAAACAAAATGTGAAAAACATGACTGTTCATGCTATTTAACTTGTTCAAGACAGGTGTATTTGTGCTGATTATGTAAATAAATGATAAAAAAAATTAATTAAAAAAAAAACCCAAACTCAGATCCTAATTATCATTTTTGCCAAAAGAAATTTTTGAGTACAACTAGTTTGAAGGTTCGAACAAAAGGCCCTTAGATCACTTTAAAAAATATGGTGTTAAAAAAATCTTTTTTATCCACCCCAATTTTTTAAAGTCGAATTTAAGCGATCCAAAGGCCTGTGGTTCGAACTGACTAAACGTGGAAGGGGGAGGGACATGAATGAATTTCATGATTTCGAAATTTGTTCGTACAAAACAAAATGTGAAAAACATGACTGTTCATGCTATTTAACTTGTTCAAGACAGGTGTATTTGTGCTGATTATGTAAATAAATGATAAAAAAAAATTAATTTAAAAAAACCCCAAACTCAGATCCTAATTATCATTTTTGCCAAAAGAAATTTTTGAGTACAACTAGTTTGAAGGTTCGAACAAAAGGCCCTTAGATCGCTTTAAAAAATATGGTGTTAAAAAAAATCTTTTTTATCCACCCCAATTTTTTAAAGTCGAATTTAAGCGATCCAAAGGCCTGTGGTTCGAACTGACTAAACGTGGAAGGGGGAGGGACATGAATGAAAATTAAAAAAAAAACACTTTACAGCCAATGACAACTCTGTGAAAAAAGTCCCCTACTGCTACTTCGGGCCTGAATTTCTTATTATGACTACGATATGGGGCATACACAAATTCAAGTAGTGCACTTTTTGAATGTACTTTTGCTGCATGGTTGTAAGCACGAAAATTTTAATCATCAGGAATGTTTTCAGTTTGTGAAACTCCATGTTATTGATGTGAAAATCACAACCAGAAATCTCTACTGAGGCTGTAGCTCTACTTGTTTGTTTTTATAACAAAGGAAGAAAAAGTAACACTTGCACATGAAGCAGTAATCCTTGGTTTAGTTGATTTGTGGCAAGATTTGTTGCATCAGATTAAAACTGTTGGAGGAGTAACTTTTTGAAAGAATTTCACGAAGGTCGCCCGCGTGGTGCAGTGGTTAGAGCGTTTGCTTTTGAGTCGCGGTGTAAGAAGTGATCCTTAAGTCGCGGGTTCGAATCCATTTTAGGACATGGAGACCAATCTTTCGGATGAGGTGGTGTAATCCGAGGTCCTGTGTCGCAGTAGGTGCTGACACGAAAAAGATCCCTCATTGCTCAATGGCCCTGAGTGCCGAGTATAGGTCAAAATTTGCAGCCCTCCACTGGCAAATGGTGGCGTCTCGATATGAGTGTAAATTCTCGTGAGGGCAGTTAAACAAAGTATTCTATTTTTAAAACCACGGCAAGACCGTTCATCAAAAATTTTTAAAAAAAACTTATATCGATTATGTATTTTAGTGTAGTCTACTTCTGTGTAAAGTTATATTGAAATGGGATGCAAACTGTAGGAGGACAGTTTGGAAGTATTTCGACCAAAAAAGCTATTTTTAGTAACAATGGCAACACCATTATTCCAAATCAAAAACGATACACAGAATTATTTATCTGAGTTTGTAATCCTGTGTCTTAATTTTAATGAAATCAGACTAAAACCGTAGGAAGAGTAGCGGTTTGAAAGTATTTAAATATTTCTAATTCTAGTGGCCATGGCAACAACAGTTTACAAAAAAACCCAAAAGTGATGAAAAGAATATGTATCTCAGTTAAGTTTACTTGTGTGCCAAGTGATATTAAAATCAGACAAAAACTGTGGAAGTAGCGTTTTGTTTTTGTTTGTTGCTTAAAGTCCCTCTCGAGAATTTTTCAGTCATATGGAGACGCCACCACTTGCTTGTGGAGAGCTGCCAGTTTTGACCTATACTCGGCACTCAGGGCCATTGAGCAGTGAGGAATCTTTCTAGTTCCAGCACCTATTGCGACACGGAACCCCGATTTATACAGTGGAAACATCGATCATCGAAATCACAAAATCGATGCAGTGAATTATGTATCTTAGTGTACTCTGTTTGTGTGTTTAGTTATATTGATTTCATACCAAAATTGTAGGATGAGTAGTGTTTTGAAAGTATTTCACAGAAATTTCTATTTTAAGTAACCATGGAAAGATCATTTATCAAAATTAAAAACCGATACTATACAATTATTGCTGTTTTTTCCCAGTCAATACGATGAATTAGCCACCTGAGAAGTACAATGTACTTGAGTTGCTATGAAAAAAGAAGGAATTATGCCCGTTTTCTTTTAATAGAATAGACTTTGAAAGGGGCGGGCATTACTTGGGGAAAATGATAGCTGAAAAAAATCTTTGATTAGCCCCCACGAAATGAGAATTCTTTTAACTTCAAATTTTGTTTTAGGGTCGGGATGGGGTTAGGGGTGGGGGATTAAGGTCCATTAGTGGGGGACCAGTCTTTCAATGAATACTTTTAGTCTTAAAAGTAAAAATTTACGTTCAGAAAAAAAATTGTTGGGGGTGGGATGCCCTGGTACCAATCCTCACCCGAAATTATATATTCCTTAATGTTATGTTTACTGAGTGGAAGTCGATAGCAAATGAACTATTTGTATCAATCTGGTTTTTTCCTCATCTATTTTTACACCAGTGTAAAAAATTAAATCCTTATATTCACCTGGAAGGTCAGGTGCAGGTGAATATAACGTGGTAATTTTTCTACACTGTTGGGTCTCAGCCAATCAGAGAAATAGAAATTGTTCAATCATTTAAGGTTTTGCCAAAAGTAAAGATGTCCAAAAATTTATTTTTACAATAGCTCCAAAACTATGTGAGGTATAAAGTCAAAACTTTTACAGTTTATAAATATATCATAGATTAACAGATTGACAGAGTATCACTTAAAATGATGGCTTTCGCTAAAAGTACAGAATTAATTAGGTGTATTTTTATAAAATACATGCATTTTTTTTAAAAAGAATTTTTCTCGATAAATACTTTCTTTAAGTATTTGTTATCAAGTGATACTTTCTATCTGTTAATCAATATATTTATAAACTGTAAAAGTTTTAACTTTATAAACCACATAGCTTTGGAGCTATTGTAAAAATAAATTTTTGGACATGTTGACCTTTGGCAAAACCTTCATAAACTGAATTATGTATCTTAGTGTAGTCTACTTGTGTCCCAAGTTATATTGAACTCGGACCGAATCTGTAGGAGAAGTAGCGTTTTGAAAAATTACAGACAGACAGCTAGACGGAAGATGGACACCTTACTATCGCATTAGCTCTTCAAGTCTCTGAGCAGGAAAGTTAAACCATGTCTCATAGTGATATATTTTATGATTCACTTTTAAAAATCCAATGTACTTTGTGTCAAGTCTCTGATTTACAACCTAAGCAAAACATTCCTAGTTGTATTTAACAGGTTGGGAACAATTCCCCTGTAGAGAGATCATCTCGCTAGAGCGCGATTATCCCTCTCTAGCGGAAGAATAAACATTACCATAAACAGGTGTTTTGTTGTTTTGATCACAAAATAATCAAAAATCTCGTGCTTTTTAAAAATCCGGGAGAAGACTGCATTGAAGCTTGAATTTCCTACATAAAACTGACAACCTGGGCTAAAAATTTAAGACAATCACTGCTGCATGTGAGAATAGGAGGCGAAAAGCAAGTGTAAATCGTGCATTTTTTTGCAAAGGTTTTGAAATTTACAGTTATATATGTTTATGAAGCAATATAAAATATGAACAGACATCCAAATTATATTCGTTAAGGTTTTAGCTTTCCCTTCGTTCACAGAAGGTAATAATTACCTTCTCCAGAAACCCATGACCATTGCTTAAATATTTGATCTTTGGTGAACTATAAGAAGTACGGAAGCACAACATGTACAGGGTTGTAACATTTGTTTAAAAGTCATATGCATGATTAAAAAAAACAACTATCAATGACATATATACAAGCTGGATACCACATTAAATAATCAAATATAATTGAAAACAAATCAATTAAAAAAATTTAAGTCTAACCGATATTGACATAGAACAAAATGTTGATAGATAGATAGATAGATAGATAGATAGATATAATATATATGTTAGTTTAAGAGTTGTTGTAAAATGTGCTTTATATATATATATATATATATATATATATATATATATATATATATATATATATATATATATATATGGTAACCTTGGACTTGCAGTAAGGCGTGATATTCTCGATGGATAATAACCGTCTGTCAAATGGTGATCTAGATTTTCATTGGTTGTCTTGGCTCATCAATATTCATAGAAACATAGTCAAGCTTAACTGATAAACGGAACAAAACAGCTTAGTATGAATTATTTTTTATAACACAAACAGAGAAAACAAAAATGCGAAATTGTTGAGTTGTCATTGCTTACCACGTGTTGTGTTAGTTTGAAGAGGTAGGCCCTAAGTGTTCGTATTTCAATGACATAAATTCTTACGTTTTCTCGGTGGCAATGAAAAGTTCCACGTTTGAGGACACTTGCGCTGGAACAATGTTGGGATCCTGCATAACAAGTGTAAAGTTTAATAGTGCATCAGATACTATCCAATACAGAGGTTGCATAGGAAAACCTAGGTCCTTAGAATTTTTTTTTTCAAAAAAGGAGGGGGGGGGGGGCTTCCAAAAAATTGACCAAAATAATAAATAAAAAGTGCCCAAGGGAATAAACGCTTTTAAAGGTACACATTTATTTAGAAAGAAGATTTACCAACACTATGTGAGATACTTCGTATTCCTACAATGAAAATTATAATTATATCTTTATTGAGTTAACAAGGGGGCAATCACGTATAAGCGATGATTTGCAGGTTATAAATTGCTTCCTGTAAGTCGAGTCATACTTGAAGGTCACCCATAAGATTAGTTAAATTAAATTGGGTTGTGAATTGAAAATGGTTAATGTTGAAAGCTTTTACCATGCATCTGTTTTTGAACTTCGGTATAAATCTAAAGAAATCTAGTCACATAGCCTACCTACTGTATTTGTTCCTTGCAATTGTCATCCCCTTCCCCATCTACCGTCTCTCGCCGCCGAAAATTTATGATTTTTCCAAAATAACGTACAGTCATATTCTGAGAGCAATTAATACAATAGTATGATATAATGTTGTTTTTTCTTTAAATTGAGTTATTTATGTAGGACGAGAAACTGAAATGTACACTGATGGGTGTTTTTTCATTCACGGGTAAAATATACAAAAGAATAAATATATAGAAGTTCCTGCAAACATTGACGAGTGTAACAATGAGCTCACGAAATGATACTCCTGTTCCCACATGTGTATAATGATTAAGTCCATTTGTTGCTATGGGAAAGTCCAAATATCCGTCCGATAAAAAAAATTAATTAGGAGGCCGCAATTTAAAAAAGAATCTGTAAAAGTATCATTACATTTTATTTAGTGGTATAAGAGGAGTTGCTGATAAGAGACGGTTACCCCAAATCGTAATGGACGGACGGACAGCTTTATAGACAGACTAACTGATGGAAACCTCATCACTATATACCCCCCGCTTTTCATACGGGGTTATTAAAAATATAAGGCGAAAGATATACGTACATCTGCAATAAGCAAATAAGCAATAAGTTTAAGCAATGGGTTGACATGCTTCCGGATTTTCCTTTTACCGTAGTTAACACGTTTACAGATGGAATTGGAATATAAATCTCGGGTTTCCGAGATGTATTTTCTCCCGCTAGAGAGGGATAATCGCGCTCTAGCGAGATGATCTCTCTACAGGGGAATTGTTCCCAACCTGTTTAAGAATTAATTTTACTACGCATGTTAAACTGGCATCAGGAGAATTTTAGAAATAAAATTGTATAACTCATGGGAATATTAACACTTTTCATTAGAATATTGCCTAGTTCTCATGATTGGCCATGTCTGTCACATAGTTTAATTAAGACACCCACCTACCCCAATGTATGATGTTGGGGATAATATAGAATTTAACTTGTCCGTCTTTCCGTGCAATTTTGTCCGGGCTCTGACTTTGTAGTGGAGAATCATTGGTAACTAATACTTCATACAAAAATTGTCTTTTACATAAGTATCATGATCTTCCCAAGGAAATTCAGGCAAGTTCAAGGTCAGTGGCAGAAACAGTATAAAATAATTTCTCCGTCTACAGTTTCTTGTATAGAAACATTATTCTGTAAAAAGATTGCTTATCACCTGAAACTGTCATGATCTTCAAACAAGGTCATTTATACACACCATTATTCCAAATCAAAAACGATACACAGAATAAGCTAACCATGACTTTTAATGAAAAATATTAGAGGCTCATACTATCACAAACATTGAATTGTTATGATCTGAGAGGTTTCATTGACCATGTTACAAGGTCATTCCATGGAATTCAAGGTCACTGTCAATAAATTCTTCATGTCCTGTTCATAATTTTCAAATGGATGCTAACTGGAAGTTGAAACTTGACAAAAATATTGATTATTGATGTAAAATGATCCAACCCAAGGTCATTTTGGCAAGTTCAAGGTCACTGGCGAAAACAAATTAAATGCGTGTCCGTTCTGTAACATTTTAAGACTATAACATTGGACGTTCATATTTCACACAAATGTCGTGACCTTGAACTAAGGTCATTCAGGCAAGTTGAAGGTCACTAGCATGAACAGTGTAACATTCATGTCAGGTCTATAATTTTCTAATTGAGATTGATTGGATGTCTATATTTCATGAAAGATTACTTATGACCAGAGGATGTGTCTTCTGTTAAAACCAAGGTCATTTTGGAAGTTCAAGGTCACATACACAGAATTGCAAATGGACACTTTGAAAACAATTGCAAAAGGGGGGGGGGCATTCTTTTATGAGCTCACTCACAGTACCTCTTGTTTTTAATTGCATCGCATGTTAGTAATCAATTAAAACACAGTCTTACGCCACACTATTTCATCGGAGGGTTACATTAATGATGAATTCAAGGATACCCACGTGATGGACTGTTGACAGTATGACCGATTTCCCATTTACCCATTGAAGCAATGGTATAAGTATTTCAAATTTTACTTTTATAAATATAAATGTACTTAATACACTGATGTTGAAAAATTATTAAGAAGACTATTTCTAAATTTATTTTATATTTTCAAAAGGTATTGTAAATCTTTGAAGGTCATCAGTTTTATATCGTCAACAGTTGTCTGTTTATATACAATCAAAAACATGAATACCTTATTCATAGTGTATATTTAACTTAATTTGAATATGAAAAAACCGGTTTCAAAACATGTCCAATGATTTTGGGATTTAATGGATGTAACTTGATATTTTCGGGAAAATATACGAACGCAGTTAGCATTTATCATCGTAACAGTAGTTGAATGTTGTGAAAGAAGATGTATAAACATGCAGTGGTATGAATTCTGGTGCAAAAAGTAACACACCATATTTTATATAATGATCTAATAATAATAAAAAAAAGAAAAAGAAATAGGACAGAAATAAAAAAAAAAAAAACCCTCAAATTCCAAATGACATATGCATCAATATTTCGCCTCTCATATTCAATCTTCAGACGTATTGATATACTGGTGACTAAATGCTTGTGAACTCCTTATTATTTAAAATATATGTACTGCGTAATACAGGTTTGCAGCTTATGTCATGTATATTATATAATCATTGGGACAATAACGGTGTGACAATTGTTGACCAATTTTGCTCTCAAATGCCCCTTACCTTGAACTAGAAGAAACCTAAAATTTATTTACTTACCTATTCTGAAATGATACAAGCTTTCCTACTCCAGTGATCGATCGCAAATTCCTTAGAACATTTTAAAACGTACACAAAGGAAGGTGTCAATCCTCAGCCCAGCGATCTCGAAGATTTACGATTATTTAAACATTCGTACATTCGGGATGGGGTCACATCAGTGTTATTACCACAGGGTGCGGTAAACAGTAGACGGCTTCAGTTATACCTTTTTAATGACAATCTTGTTTTTGATGTCAATGTCGTTTCAGAATTTTACCTGAGCGGCTATGCTTGACTGTGTAGGGCTGTATTCATTTTCTATCAAGACAAAAATATATCTTTTAGAGCATTTATTTATTTAAGAATCCTAACGTCGAGTTCCGTTGTGAGTAATATCCCATAAAGACATTCTCTACTAAATGATTTTAAGATACAATGGGGGGAAATATGCACAAAATTCACATATTTTTATTTTGCAAAATTGTGTAAAATTTTTATGTGTACGGTACAGCTAAAAAAAAAAAAAAAAAAAAAAAAAAATCCTGTTGTGCACTGTAGGAAAACTACATTGTTAAAAGACACTATGGTAGTAGGAACGGTAGTCATACTACGAATGCCCAAGATACATTATAATAATGCATCTACCAAAAAAAAAAAAGCATTTTGTACAAAGTATTTTGAGCATTAGCAGATTTATTTCAAAACTGCGACTTTTGACACTCGCTACAGTGAAGCGCAGAGCTGGCTAAATATCCCCCCCCCCCCCGAAAATATCAATTTTTTTTTTGCACTAATTTCATCACAAAATCCTTAAGTTAAGATATCGAGCAGTCCTCGTCAAATTAAATATCGATTTTGTACTTCATCTTATACGAAACTTTTTTTTTAATTTCCTTATTGTGTGTTCAGAACCTTTATTTAATAATTATTTAATGTCTGCAGTGGCGGATTCTGGAATGAATAGGCCGTGTAGGTGTTTGAAACATAGACCTAGAGGATGATATGTTGTGCTGTAGGGCTGAAATTTACGATTCACCGAAATACCGATAATGTTCAATATATTTGCTCGATTCAATGTTCGATTCACTATCTCGATTTTTGGTTCGATACAGACCCTGAAACGTGCTACTACCCCGAAAAAGCGTGTGACTTTCGTGCGCTTTTCGTTTCGTGCAAACAGTGTAGCGTTTCGTGTAAACCGTGCAGCGTTTCGTGTAAGCTCCAGAGCGTTTCGTGCAAACCGTGTAGCGAGCGTGCAAGAAGCGTGTGAGAAACGTGCGACTTTCGTGCAAGAACCGTGTAAGAAACGTGCGACTTTCGTGCATGAATCATGTGAGAAACGTGTAGGATTCATTCGGAACTCATTTTATTTTAAATATGGCTATTGATGGATCAACATGTCATTCTCTGTTGTTAGTAACTAATATTATTCGAATATATTATACCGTAATAGGTGTTTTTTTAAGAGAGAAAAAACTACGGAAACAACAAAATAAAATTACTTGGTAATGTATTACATATTTGATTTTCTTTCTTTTTTTATTTAAATAAAGAAGGAAAGAAAATATGTTCAAAGTAATCAATTATACGCACATCAATTTTAAGGTTCTTGATTCAATACATTTTTAAAGGGAGCAATACTGAACATCGTGTGAAAGAAAATTCATCAAAAATTCGGTCCTGTTCTTTTCGTTCATTTATTTGAATCTCTTCACTATTTTACAATTGTGGTATATAGAGATTATAAAAAGATATGGATGATTAATGCAAAATAATAAATAAATAAGGCATACGTGAAAAAAAAAAGTTTAGTGCGTTGCTATAAATGTGAAGTATGGGAATTCTAGGCCGGGGAGCACAATAATTTTTTTTTCTTTATAAACGAACATAATTCTCGTATATTACAAGATTGTGATACAAATAATTTTTAAACGATGAGTCATTTATAGTCTTTTTATGCATAAAATTGGTTGATTAATAATTGTCTTATAAATGAATCATAATTCACATCCATCGGCAAATACATGTACAAGGTTAAATATTTCTGGGAGGGGGGAGGGGGGGGGGGTGTTCAAATGTAAACATAAACTTTGAAGTTTTTTTGTCAACAAGTTTTTACAGATAATTTTCTTTTTAAAGAAAATTATTGGGTTTTTTTCGGGGTGCGCCTGATGCACCCCTTCAAAATGTATTGGAATCTTCTTTACACTTCCGACACTCTTCTTACGACTGTGATCAAGGTCATTTACAACAGCGATCACGGGCCCCGCGTGTCGGGAACTGAAAACTTATTCTGCTACATGCATTATTTCTTGTCAATCATGGCTAAGATGACACCCGACAATAACGATTGATTTTTAATTCGTGAAATTTAATGGTTTTATTAGTATTTAGAGCATCATTTTTAGTTTTCAAATGTAAACATAAACTTTGAAGTTTTTTTGTCAACAAGTTTTTACAGATAATTTTCTTTTTAAAGAAAATTATTGGGTTTTTTTCGGGGTGCGCCTGATGCACCCCTTCAAAATGTATTGGAATCTTCTTTACACTTCCGACACTCTTCTTACGACTGTGATCAAGGTCATTTACAACAGCGATCACGGGCCCCGCGTGTCGGGAACTGAAAACTTATTCTGCTACATGCATTATTTCTTGTCAATCATGGCTAAGATGACACCCGACAATAACGATTGATTTTTAATTCGTGAAATTTAATGGTTTTATTAGTATTTAGAGCATCATTTTTAGTTATTAGGACACTGGACATGTATTCATGTATATTTGAATTTATTGTTAGGAGCCGCGACTATTGATTACATTGTTTTTTTGTCTAGACTGGATTTAAAATCAAGGATTTTACAAAGTGGTGGGTATATTGTTTTTATTTGATAAACACAATGCCTCAAAATGGAGAACTAAAGCATTACAATATCTATTCTCCCGGCTTCTCTACCATATTAAATTTTAATGAAACGTCAAAGTTTGATTTTGTAATGAAGCGATATATTTACCATTCTTATTAAAGTGTATTTAATGAATTACATGTACATGTATCTGGTCCCGCTGGAGATATGGATATCCTTTTTTTCTTAGAACGGGCATTTGTTCCTATAATAATTTTTTCCCAATGGTATACTTTCTGAAACAAGTGTCAGTTATATTTATAGCCATGTACAGAAGTAAGATCTCGGTAATCTATCCCCTCCCCTCCTGCACAATGTTCATATTTAATTTAGTGTACACATTACCTTTGCAAATTATAAACAGAACCTAGTTTAATCAAATGAAAGTATTTATTTACTAAATCAAAAAAAAAAAATAAGTCAATTAAAAATTTAAAAAAAAAAAAAGGGAAGAAAATCAATCCGTTTACAGAAATCATACACAATTTAATCAATATATTTTTTCTTCAAATCAATAACTGGGTTTATTTTTCAGTAATAAAACGACTAGTTAATATCAAACTATAATTGTAAAAATATTGAATGCTGTAAAGGATTATGAATTACAAATATAATTTTTTTTTTTCAGTGCGTAATTTAGAGTCTAGTGAAAAAAAGTTTTGTACAAAGACGATGATAGGCATTTCACCAGGCGCGTCTCATACTCATTTACAACTATTAATTAATAACAACTTAACATTGTGTATTTTTATCTGTTAATATAGCACTGGTGTAGCGAGTTCTAATCTTACAAAAAATGTCACTTAATCTGAATTTAATGATTGCAATTATTAATTAATCTTTGATTAATCCGTAATACTTTAAATAAAGTCCGAGAGATTCCGAATAGAAAATCCAGATCGAGGCCAAAACGTGCAAGAATCGTGTACAAAGCGTGTGAGAAACGTGTACAAAGCGTTTCGTGCAGGCTTTCGTGTAAACCATGCAGCCTTTCGTGCAAAGCGTTTCGTGTAAACCGTGTAGCGTTTCGTGCAAACCGTGTAGCGAGCGTGTACCGTTCGTGCAGCGTGTGTGTGGGGTGGTAACACGCTTCAGGGTCTGTATGTTTCATGGTGGACAAAAATTCGTGGAATTCTTTATGCCATGAACCCAATGAAAATCTACCCCGATGAAAATTAGTGATTTTACAGAAGTTCATCATTAGAATTTTTCAGTTTTTCAAGTCATTATTTTACATGAGCAATATTATACAATTATTTAATGTCTGGGCAGTCAATACACCAGAATATTTTCTGAAAGGGAAAATTTTCTTGTCTATTGACTGCTCAGGCATTAAATAGTTGTTTTATTACCTAATTCCATTTTTAGTATTTAGTGTTCACAATTGTATATACATGTATTACAGAAGATTTCCCTACCATTATGCATTCAAATCATTGTAAATTAGATTTTAAGAATGATAGTAAAATAAACACAATGCAGTGATCTTTTAATCTTCTATCAATTAAAATGAGAAAATTTGTCTCAGAAAAATCAAACAAATAGATTTATAAGCTGCCGATCCAATAGATTGCAGTCTATTGACCGGTGGTCCATAATTTCTTATCTGTACATTATAAAATACATCTTAGAATGTAGCCTTTTTTAAAAAAGCTTTGCACTGGATTCTAAGCAAGGGACCTGAAGTTGAGGCACTGCCAGTACCATTGGTTGAGGACCTTCTCATGTGTCAGGAATATCTTCAAGCAGAGGAGCCACTAACATGGCTGAGGCACCAACTTATGTATCCCCCGAAAAAGTGATACAGACAGCCTTCCTTACAACTGGACAGAGGGAAAATGCTGTTTGGGGAGCAATACGGAAACTTAGGTTTACCGCCTCTAATTGTCGAAAAATCATTTCAGCTGCAAAACGCAATAGGTACATACATTTATATCTAAAAGAACATTTCACTAAGATGTACGGCACATTTACAGAGGAGGAAAGCAGGGCAAATTGCAATATTTTGATGAATTTTAGAAAAATCAGTTATTTACAGTTGCATGATCCCATTAACCACATCAGAAAACTTTTTTGTATTGTGTCATTGTAAAGTAGTTTAGGAGTAATAGATTCAGGATTAATAGCTCACAATTACAATATATTTACTTAAAAGAAAGAAAATAAAGAAGAAAAATACATACATGTAAAATCAAATAAACTATACTTTATGGCTTTGTCCCTCAGGTTGACGACTTCTCTGAAGAAAAGGCTACTAAGTGCTTACAACTTGGAGAAGAGGGACCCCATCCAGTGGGGTGTAACACATGAGAGTGTTGCAATGGCAGAGTATTGCAAAGAAGGAGATGTCTCAGTACTGCCAACAGGTATCTTCATATTAAGATATTACAGGTTTTGTATTTCGCTGATTCCAAAGCAAATGCTTTTTACAAGTTAGTTTTATTTTCATTCCACCTGGTGGCATATCACTACCCCCTATATGAAGGATATTACTGCTCTGTCAACTTGAAGTAACATGCAAAATAATATTTACAATATATAAATAGTGCTTGTTTTTGAAAGTTGAAGTCTGACAATGTTTTCAGAGAGGGGGTCAGTTTCAACAGTTACCATAAAAATGTGCACTATTATACTGAATGTTTCATTATGGTATCAATATGTCTGCCTGTCTATCTTTCTGTAAAATTACAAAAATGTTAAATCCATCTAAACCAATTGGATTTTATTGGTTAGAGCGTCTGCTCTAGAGTCACGAAGCAAGGAGTCGATCCTTAAGTCGCCAGTTCGAATCCCACTGTGGGACATCCTTTGGATGAGACCGTATAAACAGAGGTCCCGTGTCACAGTAGGTGCTGGCACGAAAAAGATCCCTCACTGCTCAATGGCCCTAAGTGCCGAGTATAGGACAAAATTTGCAGCTCTCCACCGGCAAGTTGTGGCGTCTCCATGAGTGAATAATTCTTGAGAGGGACGTAACAACATACAAACAAACAAATTATATGCAAGATTAGTTGACTTGCATGTTTATGTTTTTATGCAGTTGTTAACATATATGTATACAGTGCATGTATAGAGGGCAAAATTATGCCAAAATAACAAGAAAAATCAGCTTAACTCTCAGAAAATAAACTTGCCTAAATTACATTTTTCCCACCATAATCAGATAATATTTAACATTATTTTAATTTTTTTTGAAAGGCAGTTAAAAATAGTTCTTAAATTGAAGATTATATGATTTTCTAGGTATATGGCTTCATGAGACAGGAATTTTAGGGGCTTCACCTGATGGTTTTGAGCAAAAACAGCTTGAATGTGTACCATCAGAATTTCACCTGATATAGTAGAAATCAAGTGCCCTTTCTCAGCAAAGGATATGACAGTTGCAGCTGCATGTACTAGAATCAAGGATTTCTACTTAGGTACTTGTTAGATTTATTGCCATATATACTGATGAGCTCTTGCTGGTTTATAAACATATATTATGAGATATATATATGTATGAGGTTTCCTCTTCAATCTTTGATTACTAATGTTTTACCATAGATTGGTTGCATTTTTTCAAAGAATATCAATTGAATTAAACATGTTAAATAAGGTGATCAAATTATAATTTTGTGGTACTGTATTACTGTTTCAGTTGCTGAAGAAGATGGGAGTCTAAATCTGACGAAGACGCACGACTACTGGTATCAGATTCAAGGACAGCTTCATTTATCAGCTTCATTTATCAGGAACTTGTTTCTGTGACCTTGTCATATGGACTCTAGTGGACTTGAAAATTGTCAGGATATTGAAAGACGACACATGGGCTCAAAACATTTCAACAATGTTAGATTTTTATTTTTCCAAGTTCCTGCAATCTTTGTCGGAATGAATGATTGATGACATATATGTACAGTACATGTAATACAGTAAAAGATGTGAAACACAGATGTCCATGTATGGCAGCATATAGCAAAGGTTAAGTTTCTCAAATACAAGTCAAACTCGATAATTCCTAAGAAAAAAAGGGTTCTGCTATGCTTGTAAATTATTGGTTGAAAATGAAAAACTTTTTGTACTTTACTGTCCTGTGTAAGACAATTTTCAATTTCAATATTGTGATATTTTTTATGACAAATTATTCAGAGTCACTGATCTCATTAGAGAAATTGTTATCCCATGTGATTATAATACTACAAAATGTATATGTAACTACTTAGATAAATGCTTTATGCAGAGAAAACAAATCCAGGGACCATAAAGAATTGTGTAAAATTGTATTGCATGCTATAGCCATTATGTTCTATTTTTTCTTTTTTTTTCCCCCTGTTATCTGTCATTCAATTTTTTTATTTTGATTGTATACCAATATGGTGATGTCTAAATTGAATTGAATTGCATACTTTTAATATACTGAAGTAAACCATTGGCTGTACATCACAATATTTATATTCTTTATGTATTTTTCTTATACATTATAAAATATGTTGAAAGTTTCTGCAATTATAATAACACAAAAGAGTAGGTCAAAAGCTGTTTTAAAATTCTTTGTTTGTAAATACATGTATTGATAATCCTCAAGTTACCAAGAAAAGAAAGGCATGTCATTATTTTTCATGTATCTGATAATTTACGTACATAAAATGGTTTAAATTGCATAAAATATTGATTTTTTTATCTGTACATTTAAATACAGTTGAATTCGGTATCTCGAACACCAACATTTTTGAATACCATGGATATGTCAAAGTGATTTTGATGTCCCAACCGTTTATTCCTTAATTATTTTACCCTGGATATCTCAAATCCTCGGATATATCGAAGTATTTTCTCAGTCCCTTTGAATTCGAGATAACGAGGTTTAACTGTAAATGTTATTTTTACGTAAACTTAATCAATTAATTGATAGCAATTGTTTGTATAACTTATAAGATACAGAAATAAAGATGAAAATATTCTGAGGATAACAATGATATAAATGTCAAAACATTGCAATTCATTGCATAATGTATTTTACTGTATTAATATTACCACATCTCTGACTCATTTTTCTGTCCTACCTCATATTTGTCTGCAATCTCTTTAAGGAGAGGAGCCTGAAGATTAACTAAATAGCAGCATAATTGAAAGATTTTTGTTGTCATATGTCTGTACTGAGATGGAACATGGCTGAGGATTTCATAGTTTTTAATTCTTTCATTGGCTCTCTCGACATGAATTCTACTGCGTCCAATTTTATAGCACAGTTTTGCCTTTTCTCTGGTAAAATGAGATTTACTAGACAAAAATGGTGGGATGTTTAATGATACTCCTGCAGGAAGTCTGTCAAAAATATTTAATCCTTTATCCGCAAGAATTAGATCTCCAGGCTGTAATTGGTCAAGAACTTTGCAGTGCTCAACTATGGCAGCATCTGAGGTGGATCCAGGATATAAATCGGATGTGAATACAAGGGCACCATTTGGAGCAACACATGTCACGGCCTTTACAGTATGACGGCTTTTATAGTTGCTGTAAGTAAGAGATTGACTGTTCATATTGGATGGAATGTCTAGAGTAATTTCAGTGGCATCCATGGCAATCCTTGCTGATGTAAATTCTTCAAACGATTTCGGCATAGATCCTTTGCATTTTAGTTGAGAAGGGATGCCTACTGCCTTTAATACACCATCGAAGAAGATTTCATGAAGGACAGAAATAAACGTGTTCACAATATTTGATACTGTAGAACGGCTTGTCCCAAATCTAACGACAAGGTCTAAATCTCTAAAGTTTAATCTAAGTTTCATTAAACATATGAGCAGCTGGTCCTCAAGGCTGAAACAGGTGACCTCCCATCCAGCATAGTAATTAAATGACGCCATTCGTCTGAGAACCTGTACAATTATGTTGAATACATCTGCTGGAAGTGATGTGTAAAGCAACATCTGAAAAAAAAAAGTTCTTCAATTCAGGGGCCGACAAATCCCATTGCCCGACGCCCGGGGCTAGTGGATTTTAGGGATGCGCAAGTGAAATTTTACCAACCACTTGCCCGTGGGCACGTGACTGAAAAAAAAATTCAATATGGATGTCACAGATTTAAAGCTGGGCTTAGGGGCTTGCATGATCTACTCGGTAATTGTCTTCATATTTTTTTTAAATATATATAAATACAGTGTTAGTTTATGGTGGTGCAAGCAAAAATTCATGTAGGGCAAGTGAATTTTGACCATGCACTTGCCCTTGGACAAGTGCCTAAAATTTATATTTGTCAGCCCCTGCAATACCATAAAAAATCTCGCAAAGAACAAATATCATTATCGTTAGCATACAGACCAAGGACATTTGTAATTAAAAAATTCTCTAAGGGATGTTAAAGAACCAAAAAACAAATGATCTAGCCCATTGTTTATGAAAAAAAGTAAAACTAAAGACCCATGAACTCATGAAATAAAATGACTTGGTTTTCACTTTCATTTTTATATTGCTGAAAAAAATTAAATACTCTGTCCAGTCAGAAAATAAGGCACATACGGTAACCCTTTTTCGAAGGATACTTTATGCCAAGTTTGGTTGAAATTAACCCATTTGTTCTGGAGAAGAAGAAAGAATTATGAAAATTTACAATTATAGCAACAACTCTGATGAAAGATAAGTATTGATCACATAAGCTTGCCTGAACCTTTGGCCAAAGGTGAACTAAAATTGCAAAGAGTACTCAAGGACTATGTCAATTGGTGATAAACAAATTTCACTTAAGACTCAGGTCACCTAAAAACATCTTATTACACTGTGAATCAACTTTTTTCCGTGAGCGAGAAATATCCATGAGTTTCACAACCTTTCATTCGCGGATATTTCTTGTCATGAACCAATTATTCACCTTGTAGAATGCTGTCTCAGTTGTACACAGTAGTAATCTCATGTTGATTCTGAACTGAAGTATCGCAATTAAATAATAGTAGTAAATAATAATATTGATTTAAGAAAAATTACATTTTCATTGTCGTTAAGGATATCTCCAATTGTCGTTTTGGATGTCTATGTTTTTAGCTTTTTAATTTCTTCCTCCAGTTCTTTAATTTCCTGCTCAAGTTTTTCAACTGCAAATGAAAAAAAGTGAATAACAGTTCAGTGAAGGGAACATGTGAACAGACCAGAATTTTTAACCTGGGACCTCTTTTAAATAACTAGTCAGATGCTCTGCCAACTAAGTAATCTGCCCACCTAATATCTTCCTTAAGACAACAAACCTAGATCTTCCAGAACATTGTATGGCTACAAATGGGTAGATGTCTAAGTCTTCAAGAACTTTAAGAAAACAGGAATGTGGCAGTCAGACAGATCGAATGCCACTGTCCAAATTGTTCTTGGTACAGCATATGACTAGTGATTGATTGATTATTGTGTTACATTCATTTTGAGAATTTTTCATTCATACAAAGATATCACCATATATCAGTGAAGAGCTTCAAATTTTGACCTTTACTCAGCACTCAGGGCCATTGAGCAGTGAGGGATCTCTATCGTGCCAATGCCTGCCGTGACACGGGGCCTCGGTTTTTAAGGTCTCATCCAAAAGACCCACAACTCTCACTTCAAAGTGCCAAGCGCTTGGTGAATGAACAGTTGCTACCTTTTTTTTTTATTGATTTAGGTCAGTTGCGGTTGATGTCCGAACCCACGACCCTCTGATCACAGAGCAAGTGCTCCACAGACTGAGCTTCAGTGACAGTCCTTACTAATGATTCAGGGGGCCCAGGTTCTAATTTAGGTCTGGTCCATCTGGTAGACCCTAGGTACTGTTTCTTTCATGTTTCTAGGAAAATCCTTCACTGGGGTACGAGCCTTACTTGAGACAAATTCTGATTGTTCCTTTTTGTACCATTCTTTTTATGAGCATAAAACACGACAAGGTATAGAATATCAATACAATAGAGAGATTGTGATTTTAAACTTGCACGCGAACGTGTACATGTGCACAAAATTTGACATACACGTACACGTTTTTTTGGAATTTGTCTGTTAAGATTTAATGATGTGTAACATGAATGTGTAGACTGTAATCTGTGCTTCTGTTTCAACTATTTAGTAGTTTTGTGACATTAGTTTGACTTTATTTAGTGAACAAACATGGTTAAAATAAGTGTTCATGAAATTTAACATCCTAAATAATTAACAACAATAACAGTTTCACACATAAATTGACTAGTTTTTATTGGGAAAAAACTACAAGTTTACACTATGTGTAGAGGCCTTTTTACAAGTTGTAAGAACGTGTAGAAAACTTATCAACACCAAAACCGATGACATAATACGCAAGAAATTTAGGGAATTCCCCTAGTAGACGTACACATACACGTATGAAATCTCAACCTCTCTAATGAATGACATTGTTTTTCCTACCTGGATTGGTCTTTCTTTGGATGGGAATAAATGCATCATATGTTGTTACTGGTTTTACAAAATTGGAATGGTCAGTTTCTAGAGGTTTGTAAAGATGACTTTCAGCAATGTAATGGTCATGGCTTGCCGTCATTGGCAGTGTCGAGTTTCCATCATTACCTTTATCGTCTTTGGATTTTTTAATCTATAAAAATTGTATTCATGTATAAATTGTAACAAATGAAAGAAACTTTATCTACATATATTTGGGACCTTGCATATAAGAAAAACAATTTAGTGAGTTTTAAAATTTTGTTGCCCTATCAATATCTACAATAAATACATGTACATGTACTGTATCCCATAATTTAACACTTCTTGATGATAGAAATTATGATAAGGTCCAATGTTCTCAAAAAGTCTTGTTTGTTCTGCTCACAATATAAGTTTGTATTGTTTGATTGGACTTTTGAGCTTAATAATGTATTACTGTTCTTTAAGATTTTATTTAATATTACATTGTATTCCCCATGCAATAAATACAGGGGAATATCTGTCTATGACTTGTTTTGAGTACATCTCCCAAACTACATTTTTAGCACATATTTCATAGAATTTTTATCACATTTATCAGTATAATTGTCTGATGTATTCTGTCACTATTCTATGGGGCATTTAAATATGAGTAATTCCTTAATTCTCATTATATCGCGGGTTCCATTGTATCGCGGTATTTCCCAAAAATTAGGATACATAGCTCATATCCTTTTTGTTGATGGACTATCTGTCTGTCGTCTGAATGTTGACTTTTGTGATGATTAAAAAGTATGGAACACCCATTGGAAAAATATTTATTCAAATAAAACGAAATTTTACAGATTTCCATTCCCGTTTTTATTTTATTTAGACCATGTAATATATAGCCAAGTAAAATCCATAATAAAGTTCATATTTTGAAAACCTTAAGTTTGTATTATACTTAAGATTTCATGTAGATTTACATCATAAATTAAAAAAAATAAAAATTGTTTTTTGTGACCGTGCCAAACCTTCATGTTTTCAATACCGCGATACAATGAGACTCTCCACTTTTGGAGGTAAATAAGACTTCCTGTTGTAAAAATAGAATACAAAGTAAACGAAGAAAGCTTAGAAAATAATTAGCCACTAAAAAGTTGGGCCATTAATAGGTTTATGAATAGTATTTGGTGAAAAGTTAATGTAAGAATTTGGAAAAACTTTTTTATGCAAAAGAAATATGTACCGCGATATTATGAGACACCAGTATACATGTACTCAAATAATTCAACAAAATGCTGATTTCTCAATGATGCTTCAAAACATAAAATAAATATATAAAATATTACCTCTTTGGAGTAGGTACTTCAGGAAAGTTAAAGGTCTTGTTGAAAGAAAAAATTGTTGGCCCATTTTCTTTCTTTCCTTCCACAAAATGACAACTACAGAGTCTATCATTCTCTGTATATTCTCTGTCTGCTCACCTGAAGATAAATAAATCTATGGTGATTTTTCTTTTATCTTCCCCCCCCTGTTATTTATATTTAAGATATATAATTGATATTTATAAAATATCTGTAAGTAACAGTTTTAACAGGCTTTGGCTATAAATAACTGGAATAACTTGGATCAGGTTTGTTTACATTTTCTTTAACAGTTCAAAGGTCTGAAAATCTAATTATTCTGTATTTCTCTCTCTCTCTTTCTCATATATATCTCTGTGAATTCTTTTTATTCAGTAGCAAGTAGGCCATATGCCTTATATTTCTAGTTAGGACCCCGCTCTGCGGGCGCCCTATAGTGATCAGTCTGTCCGTCCGTCCGTCTATCTGTCCGTCCGAGATCTCTTGTCCGGAGCATATCTTCTCTCTCCTTGGCCCAATCTGGCTCATACTTCACCCACAGAGTGTCTTTGGGTAAAGGGTGTGCAGTGACCTAGAATCATGTTTCTAGGTCTAAGGTCAAGGTCATAGCAGAATTATATGAAAAATCCTTGTCCGGAGCATATCTTCTCTTTCTTGGTCCAATGTGACTCATACTTCACTCACAGAGTGCCACTGGACAATGGATGTGCAGTGATTTTGAACGAAGTTTCTAGGTCAAGGGTCAAGGTCAAAAATAGCCTCTCTGTTTAAAATCTTTGTTCGGTGCATGGTTTCTTTCTCTTAAGTCCAGTCAGCCTCAAACTTTACCAATTGACTTAGGGTACAGAACATTTGTGATTTTCCTTCCATATTTTGATATATATGCAACAGTTCTCATAGAGGATATGCAACATTTGTGATTTTTGTGCCGCATTTTGATAGAGGGTACATTGGAGCACTCGTGATTTTCATGCCATTTTTCATTATAACAAGGATGACATAGAAGCCCTTTAGACTCAAACAACACATCCCTTAATAGAACACAAGTGTTCCTCTTCAAAATAAACCCTTTTCAGCTACTTTACCTTTTCATGTTCGTTGCTGAAAGCGGGGCCCTTTGAGATGGCCACCATCTCAATGAAATCTAGTTTAT